GCAGGGCTGAAAGGCAAGGTCAACGCAAGAACAAATGGTTCAGAGAAAAATGTTCATAACCGTTATCCAGCCAACAACACATTTAGTGTGTTCCTTGACTCGTGTCCACCCTGCGTGGAAACCCTTTGCATGAACAGCCCGGTTAAACAGGAGAGAGAGCTGCAGGGCTGGGTGATAGCTCAAATATGTTCTGGAACTGAAGTTTCAGAGAGAACCTCTAACCCAAACCAGCAGAAAGATGGATGAAAATATAGGAGCATTTTGTAATGAAATCTTAGGTATTATGCTGCAGGCTTTCAATTCACTTAATTACCGAGCTGAATACTTGCCAATATCTCTAAGTTTCCTTCCTCTCTTCCTTTTAGAGTCTTGCTGTGATAAAGGTACCCAGCAAGCCCACCCAACAGTCACTCGGTGTGGAACAAAATTTACTTTTAGAAACATTTTCTCCCTGGCATCCCAATATACAACGTAGGGAACTACAAGAGACCAAAAGACATGCTTACTTACATGGGGCTGCACATCCAGCAAACAAACTTTGTTCTTAGCTAGAACAGACCGAACAGAATCTAAACTTGTACCATAGTAGTTGTTCTTATACTCGCCATACTCGATAAACCTGTGGCAGAAGATGAAAACAACTGGAATAATTTCCATTTTCTCCAGAAAAATCCTTATTAGTTTGGCTTTATAAGATCTAATTCAGGAGCACAAATATTTTACTTTACATGAGAGTTTTACCATGTTTTATAAAGGAAATGCTGTCAAGTACTTCAGCATGTCAATTTTAAGAAATCTTCTACTTTACCACTTTCAAATCAGTAACACCTGCTTGTGTTACAGTTAAAGAGAAAAAAGTACTGTAGTCCAACAGCCCACTAATGTTTTCCATCACCTCTTTTTCTGAACTAATGCAACGCAATAAAACAGTGGATAAGCTAAACAATAGAAACTACTGAAATTTCATTGCACACTACAGAATATCCAAATTCTCTGTCTCAGAAGAGGAGGTGGAGCGACAATGGTGCTAATGGAACCAAGGCGGCTGGTTATGTGCTATAAAAGTACAAGCACTGTTTGCCAAAAATGCAAAGCACAGTTTGAAGTTTCAATAAAACCCACAGCTTTGTGTCTAATACACTTTTGCCCTCTGAAACACTGGGGCAGAATTTCAAGCCATGATATTTTACAGGCTGCTGGAGAGCACGATGCTACCATTGTCTTTGTTTTAGTCTAATTTTTGGTGGGTTTACAGGCAAGGGCTTCACTGTAGATCTCTAAATTCGAGAGCAGAGGAAGTTCCTTGCCTGAAAGAGAGCAGAACTATGCAAACATTGACTCAGGCACGTTTGCAGCACTTCCCGGGCCCCCCCTCCTAGAGCAGCAATGCTTTATTGCTATGACAGATGATGCCCTGTTAAATGAGTGCTCCTCCATCCTGAAGACCTACAATTTCAGAGGTTTCTTCATGAGCTGAAGTACTGGAAATAATTGGAAGATTAGAAACAGTGGTGTTTGCACATGCTGCTGGTTTTTTTCTCTGTGTTTTTGCCAGCTGTTTTGAACTGCTTATATATCAAAACGTAATTTTAACACATTTTCAAATCACTGCAACTTATACCCACTCTGACTTATTATCTAAAATTAAAACCAGGATCATTTCATAATAAAGCCAGTTTTAACTGCAGTTCTAGTTAAAATCTCTTCAACATACTTGTTATTCTGTACGTCTGTCTCAAACAAGTGCTTGGAAATGAAAATGTATTCGACACCATCACTTTCTTGGCTTCTCCTTGGTCGGGTAGTGTCTGCAGTTCCATTAAATGAAAAAAAGAAAAGATGCACAAAACAATATAATGCAAACCAGTTCAGGAAACACTGAAAAGCACCCAACTCTTGCGCAATACTAAGCGTAGCGGTTCCCTCACTTCTGATGGACATCAGGCTGCTCTGGATCTGGTAGGCAGCACACAAGCATGTGACAGGATTGAGTTTTAAAAGTGTGCAGGAAAAGGAAGAAAAAAAACTACTGGACAAGTATCAGATTATCATTTTTTTTAACTAGTGGAAAAATCCAATAAAATGAGGACAGCTGAATAGTAAAAGGAGCAGCAGTGGATAACAATTACCCCAGCCTCACCACTTGTTAAACTTGTTAGCATAGGAGACCAGAAAGGGAAACAAAGTTCACCAACCTGATTTATAAAATGCTATGTTCATTAACAACACTTGGAGCTATAGTATGTGAAGCATGATAACAAAAAAATAGGGTGTGAGTTTTATGCTTTAATGCTTTTCTTTTTCTGGTCATCAAAAATTAATTTCTTCTTCTTTCAGTAGCTTTTTGCACTTCTTTCCTTCAAGTAATAGGTACAGAGGTTTTGCTGATAAATGCAACTTACTCGTGGGGTTACCACTTATGGAAAATGAACTAATTCAAAAGTCCCATTTAATACAAGTTGTACGTTACAGCATCATGCATCCTCCATCACATAAGAACATACACAACCTCCTTGCTGAAACACAGTGCTGGATGTCATTTGGCATCAAACTCCTTGTAGGTTGTCACAAAGAGGAACATTTCCAAGACAAGAACCGCCATTCTCCCTCCAAGTCCTGACTTACTGAATTTCAGGGAGAGGGATTTCTTTACATGTTTGTTTTAAATTATAACCACAAATTTGGAAGAGAAAAGAGAGAAGGCAGCTTGATGAATACTGGCAATTTCTAGAGAAATATTTCTGGGCAAATGATTGCATATGTTTCAGTGTGTTAAATATTTGGGAACATCTGGCTTATTTTGTTGTTGTTTTCAATACCCAGCTGAAGCAAATATGTGCAAATGAAATGGCTTGCCAAAACCAAATGTATTCATTTTTCTACCTAGCTAATTCAGTCATATATATACTTTATAGGATACCTGCACATGCAAAAATACCCCTGTGGCAGTATCTCCAAGATTCAGCATGTTGGACCCATATTTTTGAACCATCTCTATAGGAGGCACAAGTACAAGTAGAAAGCAAACCAAGGAATGAAACTCTAACTAAAACTGTCAAGTCCTCCACATTAAAAAAACACCAATAAGGTTTTGTAGAAGTTAAAACAGAACAACTTTATTCAATGTTATACGAAGTAACACTATTTAGTTGGATTGGGGGGGGAAGGAAAAAATCCCCAAATCTCCTTTTCTGAAGCTGAGCAAAGGGATTTAACTCATTTATTCACAGGATTAAACTGTTTATCATCAGTCTTCATTTTTCAGGTTAATAGAGAAAGGCCATTTTGCTGAAAGCAAGCATTGGTAACAGCATACGTTTCACTGCTTTACAGCAAACCCAGGGTGTTCTCCAGCTGAGTTTCATTTACTAAACCTCGCTGACATCAATCATGTTAAACTTGTACTAAAAGTCTACTGCAGTGCCTCTGAGCCAAAACATGCTATCAGTTTAATCAGTGATATTTAAAATACAACTGCAGCAGCACTTTCAAAAATTAGAAAAGTAATTTGGATGCCAAGCATGCATTTAGGGACCCGAATTTGAAAGTTCCTTAAGGTAAGGGGATAATAAAGGATAATAATGCAAGAAGAGCATTAGGAGAACAGAAGCGTGTTTGCACTTACGTGGCACTGTTACCCCGTAATGCTGTGTGTCACTGATCAGCAATTTCCGTTTGAGTTCATTCAGTCCAACCCCCACAGGACCTGAAAGAAAAAAATTGTGCCATTTCCCAACAGCTCATTCTCTTTTGTCTCCAGGTGTAAGCACTCTCCGAGGTAAGACAACGTAGCATGTAGCTGTAATATATACTGCCTTCTAATCAGTCATTTGGAAATGCCCATGCTGAATACACAGCGCTGACAAATTTCAGGGGATGAGTTGGCAGTTGCTCTGCGCTGATTTTGCTACTGAGGAAAAATCAGTGAAAAAGCTGACAGCAGATCTAACTTTTGTTTTTACAGAAGCTACCCTCAGCAAGCACCTATCTCCAACCTCAGCACTGCCACAGACCCCTGCAACCCTAACCTATGGCTTTCCAGCACAACTGGTTTGGCTATTCATTCTGCCAGAACATCCCCAACTCACAGACCAGAGGACCCCAGCTGGCATGCACACAGTCTCCCAGAAAGCCTCTGTGCTCCATGGGTCACTGTGGCCTTTTCCTTACTTCCTCCAGCTCCTGCATCCCTTGTCTGCACTGGACACTCCTATGGGGCGTTGCTCCCACTCTCTCCCCATGCCCTGGGAGCACCGTACTCCTTCCAGCCACAGCTGCAGGCAGGAATAGCGCCCGGCCTTGGGTTGGCCATAGCTGTCACCATCCACCTTTTGACTGGGCCAGGGTGACATCGCATGAGGAGAGGGAGGGCAGCGTTCCCCAGGTCACAACCCGTTCGGGATGTTTGGGTTTCTTTGTTGCTGATTTTCTTTTAAACTATGCTCATCTCCTGCCTGCTGTAAACTGGTCCAAAGCAAATGTTTCCTTGTTCATGCAGCTGCCAAAGAGAGACCACTCTTGGAAGGAGGATGGCAGGAAGAAACAAAGACTACACAGAATTCTTTGGACCCATCTCCTCCCCTCCATATGAGTACTGCTGCCCTAGAAGCTGCTGAGCAGACGTTCCTCTTGCTTTCTAGGTTGTCCCTAACTCTCAGCCATTTATCAGTAGTGCTTTAGGTCCCAGTGAGGGCACTTTGTCCTGTGAGGCCTCAAAGGCTCCATGGGCAATGGCTGCCTGCCCCAGGAGGCTTCACACAGGGCTTCAGCCTGCCCAGCCCCTCTGGTGGTGGGGCCATGGCATCATGGGTGTGTGGAGGGAGCTCAGCTCCGCGTGCTTGGGCATTTCGGATGGTGCAGCAGCTTCGTTTTGGCAGTGCCAGGTCAGCAGCAGGATGCAGAGGAGAGTGAGTCATTGGAACCATATCCCAAATAATACAGGATAATACATGTGGTTTTAAGGAAAATTCCCGCTCTTCTAGTAAAAGTCATACATTTATGTATGGACTGTAAATGTCTCTGCAAAACAGAGAAATTTTAGACATCGGAAATACAAAAACCTAAGAAATACTTAATGAAATAGTGCTATATTGGTTAATTACCAGTGAGAGTCTGGTATCAAAAAGATGGATGCTTCAACACCTTCAAGTGCCTAATTGTAAAAATCACCGTCCACCCTGTCTGAAGTTGGAAACACGTAATGATGAAAAGCAAATGCTTGCTACTTTGCTACCATCCCCAGACTATGGTCTCTCTGTAAAATCTTAGGCTTTCTGTCTTTATAATTTTTATATGTTTACATAAGTTAAACATACAACTACATTTCAAGTTCTGTCTCTGACCTGCCTGTAAATTAATCTATCAGTATATATAAATGTTTATTTAATATGGTGTACAGCAGCCTCTACTGGTGCATGTCTGCAGAGGAAAGCAATGTGTCATGTAGATAATGGTATAACTTCTGTTCTTATAAAAAAAAATCCTTTTAAAATAGTATAGCTATTTATGGCAAATATGGATTTTTATAGGAAAAGTACTTAAAATTCGCAAAGTGGAATGAAACAAGTGGAGTTCACGTAAAAAAAATTGTATTCCTTTCAAGCAAAATATTTTCCCCATCAAAACTACACAAATATTATTTCCTCTGTCTACATGCTGTCAAATCAACAGTATGTTTTTAGCTGTATTTATATATATAAAGGAACCAGGCTTCACTTCCTGCAACAGATGCTTTGGAAACTTCTATCAAATCTGTTTCCAGACCACAACCTCACTATTACTCTGTCTCTCCTTCCAGATTACTATTTAAAATAATCTTTAAATTTAACTTCTGGAAGGTGCAGATCCTTCTTTTTCAGTGCTGTCTTTGCAGAGTTCTCATAACTGTAGCATATGGATGCCAAAGGCTGATTCCTAATTAGCAACGCCATCCATAATGCTGATTTATACACTATGTCTCCCGAGTGTAATGTTCACTTCTATTCTAACATTCTTTTCATTTTGATGCAACAGAGAAACATGCTGTTTTCTAATAATTATTAATCCGAACTTGATTTGAACTCCTGAAGAGAATAAGGCATTAGGATTGAAAAGGACAATCCAGATTCTTCTAGTAAAATGCCAGGAATGTATGGATCCATGACTGTAGCACAGTTTTGTTTTACTACAAATCACCCCAGGCAGCAATATTTAGAGTTATGCTTACAGATTTAGAGATGTTTTGTTCATTTTTTTTAAAGGAACATTTATGTTGCTTGCTGTTGCATGTGGAATCATGTAAGCTATGAACTGGTCAAATCCCGCACAAATGAGTTGTAGTGCCTCCCTCACTTTATTGAGGGACAATTGCAGAATTAAACCCCCAATCCTCAAAACTTGCATTCAACTTTGTATCATTCAGACATGTCTGAAGAAAACTGAAAAAATCCTTTGATGAAAGTTCAGGTCTCAGGAGGGTTAACCCAACCAGCCACTCTTCACCCATAGATACATACTGACTTCCTAGACGTCTACTTGAACAAACAAAACAAAACAAAACTGGTCTTTCAGAAAAGATTTTGGGAGTTAGGTGACAACATCCCTGATGGGATCATAAAGACCCTGTAGAAAATGTGCCTTGACAGGGGCTTTGTGCTCAGTTATTCCTTCCCTGGTACTACTAATCACCACACTGTAATGACTGCACATGCACGTCCAACTGTAGCTCAACGAGGTTTGTGGTAAGAAACAGAACCTTGATTTTTGTGTTACAGTAAATTAAAACTAGCAGTGGGAGTGTATTTTTAGCTGTTCACTGGCACAGGCAAAGTGATTTTATACTGCTGTTCTCATGGGCAAGGCTAGCTAATATGTTGCATCCCATGTATTCATCCCTGAGCCATGCTGACATACCCATGCCTTCACCAGGAAGGTTTAATGAAGATAGCAATTCTAGGTCTCTCTTGACATCGTCCAGACGGCTTACTAGAAGTAGTATCGCCATGCTAGGCCATTTTCCTGCACTACTGCTGTGGATCTATTAAATCTCTGCAAGCCATTACTGAACACGTTAAGGGTAAGTCAGGAGATGCAGAAAGCTAGGAGCCACTTCCATTTCATCCTCTCCTGCTCTGAGAAAGACTTGGCCTCTACATAGCTCCTTCATGATAAAACCAGAGGTGACAGAATGGTTTTTTTAAAAAAATTTTTTCCAGTCCCAGATTCCTTTTCTTCACAATGGTGACCAGAAGGACACCATCGTGGGGAGTACTGGCAGCCTAGTTCAGAGACAGAGAGCCTTTTCTGAGTGCGTCACACACCAGTAATAACTGCTTCTTTGTGGTTACAAACCACTGGTCCTTGCCTCTACCGCTGCCTGCTTAGGACAGATGCGTCACCACGGGTGACTGCAGCATCTGAAAGGCTCTGCATGCCTCTGGTGATAACGCTGCGTGCACATAACTGCGTGCATTCTGGGGAAAACGCTCATGGTTTGTTACTGCTCACTTTGCTTTATCCTGGCACTGCCCCTTCAAAAATCTCTGACTTAGCTGATACTACGCTGTACAAACCTATAGTACACAGCACAACCATTCTGACTCTTAGGAGATAAAATTTGTGCTAGTCTAGCCCTCACAGTTACTGAAGCAGAAGCCTTTGTGAGCAGGACTAATGTAAATGAAAATTCTGGTGTCTAAATACTACATTTCATATTAAACTATTCTGCCTTTGCCTGATAGGGCTGCAAGGCATCATGCTGAGGATGCAGGTTGTATTTCTGAAGGAAGACTTTGAGGATTGGTGGCCTGGGAACAGTAAGTTACCAGAAAAAGACTGGTGACATGATATTGGATAATTTTATTTTTTAGCAGACTCATCAGATTCATAACAACTAAAAGCACAGCAGAAGCATCTGTATCATTACTGCTTCAGATGATCTGTTATTTTAGCACCAAGGACATGCAAGATTTTATTCATGAACCTACATTTGCAGACAAGGTAAAATCTTGACAAACCAATACATCTACGTGAACTTCAGACTGTATCACACTATGGGGTGCTAAAAATTACTGTGTGTGCAATTCGCATCCTGTAAATTAGACTAGACCAATTTAAAATGAAGCCAAAAGGAATTTCCATTTCAATGTTGTCAAACTCCCTCCTCCTAAAAACAGGAAAAACAAAACCTAATGAAACCTTCTAACAGTAAATAATATATTTAGGCCTAGCAAAACACAATGGACATTTAATGCCCTCACCAATTACAGTCACAAATTAATTATCTGTCCCTTTGTTTCCTGGTAATAATATTCAAATTATGTTTGTCAAATTATATTGAATGCTGCTACTGGCACACAAAAAGCTTCTTTAAATGTGTTCTCTTCTACTATACCTGCATTGCTTAGCTCTGCGAGTTTTTCCACATTTTGCCCAAGACACTTTTATGGTATTGGCCAGACTTAGCTTCTCTTAATATCCAGAGGAAAACATTAGAATTACTGAAGTCTGCAATAAATTTCTGAACTGCTTTTGTTACTGGAAAAGCACACTTTCTTCATTTGATTTATTATAATAAAAATCAGATGAAATCTCTAGGTATTCCTTAGATCAGACATATGCAATTTGTTATAAAAAGTCTACTTATCACACTTTTGCACTGCACTCTGTTGATGTAAGTGTAAAATCAACTCAACCACGTTATTACTTGTTGTATATAGCCCACAATCTCACAGTGATCACACTAGTAGGTGGCTGAATTTTAGTGCTGGAGAGTGACAAAACTGTTTATTAAAAACTAAATTTAATGTTCCCTTGAATATGAGCGATATAAAAACAGAGCTACACAACAGTTCATAACAGTCCCTGAAAGAGGGTCATATTTCTCTGCTCTGCTGCTTTCAGGATGGAGAAAATTTTACTAATGAAGCATCAATCTATGTGCTACTGCAAAAGACACAGTGAGCAATGAGACGTTACTCATTAGTCATTGGTACTCCAGTGGTTACCTCTGAAAAATTTAAGATCATGTACTTTCTCTTATTTTAGAAGACCGAAGCAATGCATTTTGGTTAGACAATAAATGCCGTGGGACACCCATGGCAGTGAGAGCTTTATAGAAGAACAGAAAGCTGACTAAGGGTGACATCTTGAGACCTCTGCAGCAATGTTCACATCCATTCTTGGCCTACAGAAATCCACCTCTCATCTACCTTTCTCCCTACTTGTTCATTTACTCATTCTAACACAACAGATGGCTTTATTGCTTTCCACTCATATATTCTGTCTTAGCTAAACACAGGTATTTATTCTGATCTTTTTTCCTTCTTTTTTTCCATATAGATATCTCGATTATCTCTAAGAGCAGAACACTGACCTAATTCTTATGAGTTTTAGTACAGCTTGACTGCCAGGTTCAGACTAGTAATCGCTGTAGCTATATTTTAATGTCATCTCCTTTTGTTATAGCAAAGCTTTAAATGTGATCTCCTAAAGCATCTTTACATGCAAACTGGGAACTCCTGTCTAGATGGGCTGACTACTAGATAAGAGGAAAACTGGATGGATGATCATATTCAAAGGGTAGGAGTTACTGGTCCATACTCTACTGGGTGACTTATTACAACTGGAGTTCCCTAGGGGTCCAGGGTAGACCCTAGGGACACACTGTTTCATATCTCTATTAATAACCTGGAGGAGTACACAGAATGGCCCCTCATCAAGTTTGCAGATGTCAAACTGTGCAATGCAAGTGACTTGCTCAAGGGAACTTGAAATGTTAAAGGCGTGGGCTGGCAGAACTTTGTGAAATTTGAGGACAAATACAAAGCGCTGCATCTGAGACAGACTAAGCTCCACAGCACTGCAGACCAGAGACTGCCTGGCTGGAGAGCAGCCTGCATGAAAAGGACCTGGGACTCCAGGTGGGCAGTGAGCCTAAGGTCACAGTGCACAGTGGCAGCAGTGAAGGCTAACAGATGATTGGGCTGTATCAGTAAAAGCCTAGCCCATAGACAGCAGGAAATGATTCTTCCCCTTTACTCAGCACTTGTTAGACCCTGTGAGGAATGCTCTGTTCATGATGGGCCCTGCACTACATGAAAGATGTTGATAAACCGGAGCAAAGCCAGTGGACAGCCTCCAAGACAGTCAGGAGCTGAAGCACATCACCTGTGAGGAGAGGCTGAGAGAACTGGGCTTGGCTAGTTCAGAGAACAGATGGCTTCACAGAGACCCACCAGCACCCCTTCTGATACCTGTTGAGAAGATGGAGGCCACATCTTTACTGAGGTGTGTGGTGGGAAGACAAGAGAAGATGTGGTGGGAAGACAACCCTCCACAACCCAACATCAACAACCTGCTCTGAATTCAGCGTTATTCCTGATGAGCAGGAGGCTGGACCAGGTGACCTCCTGAGATCCCTTCCTGTCTGAATGATTCTGTGGTAAGCACTGAGGTAATCAGTGCTCCTCTGTTTTGCCAGGTCAAAAATAAAGAAAACAACTTACCAACCAAAATGACAAGCCTGTATTTGTCATTAGGCTGTCGTCTATATTTTGCAACTTCTTCATATGTTGGGATATCTGCTGTATCATATTGATCACTCTTCTTGCACTCATACATAGATTTGTTTGTTTTTTTATCTTTTCTGCTAAGACGAAAGCTTCTTCTAAAACCAGCTGCAATAAGAACAGGATTTTTTCAAAGTAAGAAAATAACTCTTCTCAAAATATTTGAAAACAGACTCTTCCAAACATTTGAGGTGGTGCATGGAGTAAAAAACGATCATATGTTTAATAAGCCAGGTCATTAGAACGGTATTTTCCTGCAGTTTTAAACCATATCAGGTGGCTATTTAAACTGCAAAATTAAGATTACTAATTAAATCATAACAGTTGCAACAACAAGCTGTAAAATATAACTGCAATAAGTTCTCAACATATTTAGATAATTTTGTATCTTATACATTAGTATATATATACACACAAGGAAATTAATGCGATCTGGACTCTCATACCACACTTAATGCATTTCTATTAAATCACCATGGCACACAGACATCAAATACAACATAGGCAGAAACACATCTGGTGGTTGAAAGAGTTAAAGAACAAACTCCTTGAACAATTTTTTTTGTGCTTAGCTCTGTGCTGATAGCATTAAAAAAGTGCACAAAACCTTTCCCAAAGATGTTTAAAAATAAAACCGAACAAGGTTAAATTCTGAAGCACTATGAAACATCTTAGACGATACAGTACCAGTATTAGATATGTTAGCATGAAATTAAAAGTTAATATTCATATTAAATTTGCATTTACAATTGCATCAACAATGTGACATCTACAGTGCCTGTCTAGAAGACTGGAAATTCCACAAGTACTCTCAAAGGATATAATCATAGGCATTTTCAAGCAGAACAGCACAAAAAAACCTCTTCTACACTATATGTTAAAAACTAATTTACTCCTCTGTTAATGGTTATTTTACAGTTTTTCAAACAAATTCTTTACATTGTATTACATTACATTTCAGTGGTATCTCCACGGCACTACTATTTTTCTAGAAGGAAATACAGGAAGGACTGCAAAGAAGGACTGCAAAGCTGATCTCATTATTTGACGGTAATACAGTAAAACACAAACTACACTTTAAATACTGGAAAAATCCCAACACCTTTTTTTATGTCCAGAACAATTCATAGGACAGTAAACACATGTAAACTTCTGCTGACCCCAGATTTTTCAGCAGTATGTTTTCATAAACCTGTAAAAGCACTTATGTTTAGGTGTTTGAGAAGTAATCATATTACAATTTTTTCTTCAAAGGTAGTATCTGGCAAATTCAAGACTCAGTTCTGCAAATATTTAGAACTAGATCTGAAGCAAAATTCTGCAAGGTTTAGTTGCAGGCTTAGCATTTTGCACACACACAGTTCCACTTAGCATAAATCTTTGCAGAACCTGGATCATGGAGGATGTTAGCCAAGTTATTTTTTGATGTGAACCCCTACACCTATGGGAATTTAGAACATGTGTTATACACACAAGAAGGGAAGAAAAATTTCTTTGAGAATACAGTGATGCCAGTCCATTTATGTTCAAAATATGAATAAGTAAAATGAAAATCAGTGAAAAAAGATATAAGAGCCAGCACTGACAGAAAAGGCTGATGATATTTTTAAGAGCTACAGTACTGTCTAGACTGAAAAGGACATGGTCAGGGACAGAAAAAGGACCAAAATATGAGATCTGAAAACATAATGAATTAAACTGAACTATGTTATTTTATTATTTAAAGAACAGTAGCACTGAAGTGACTGCAGTCAGAAAAGCCCAGTTGCGGTGCTGATAGCTATGGGCATGCATTCCCAAGAGAGGGCCTGGGAGATTGTGTCTGCTTTAGGGTGACATGAGGACATTTTCTTGCTACATAACTACACCTCACTGTACAGACAATTATATAAAGAAAGGTTAAAAGTAACATTAACAATACAGACACATGAAGTGGGTTAAAGGTTTCCTAAATCCTAATCTAAAAGGCTCCTGATTAAAAAAATCAGTTACCCTAAAAGCAAGCTGAAAATTGTTCTGCTATTAAATGGTTGATAGAATAAAGAGCTTTGTCACAAAAATCAAAAGTCCACATACCTGGAGAAGGTAAAAAGCAAGAGCAAAGACGAAACGAAAATAAAGCAATAGTCGCCATTTCAGTTTGGTGTTGACTTTACAAATATCAAGAGCTCTGTACCTCTGTGTAGCTGCCTCAGAGCGTTGTCACCAACAGCTTCTTAACCATGGCTTACATGTCCAGCTGCAGAATCTTTAGGAAAAATATCCTTTTTGCAAAATCTTCATATCAATTCAATATTCAATGCTTTTAGGTTTAAGAAGAGCCTTTGTAACTTGTTTCTCTTTTCTCCATTGACTTTATTGAGATCTCATTACCAAATTACAAGGTGGTGGGTTACTTAAGAATCGTCATTCCATCTTCTCTTAAATGTGTAAAAAAACCCAAACCAAACCAGAGGATTTTTTGTGTCAAAAGGAAGAAAAAGAAGAAAATCTTTCAGTGTTGTCTCCAGGCTGGTTTGTCCCTTGTCACTTTTACAGGTGGCCTACAGGGCGTCACAGACTCAGCTCATACGGTTCAACTGCTAACATGGGTTTCCTAGGTTAAAACATTTGATATTTCTGTGACTGAAACTCACTGGTAAAATTAAAATAGTAATATTGTCCTGTATTCTAAGAAGGTTCAGCATGGGACTTCAACTTTACCGAAAAGCTACAATGCTAATTGAAAAGAACAAACAAGCATGGGAGCCAGAGATAATGAAGCAGACTTCCAGTATGGCTGATTTCTCTGCCATGTGCTGGTGAAGACACTGTAAATCCACTGAATACTACAAACCTGGGGTATGCTGATTGCTTTGTCACTTTAAGAATATTGTCAATTTGACAGTTGTTTTAAGTGTGCCTCAAAGCCCATCTGAATAGCCCTACAGAGAAACCCAAGAAAGCTTGTTTTAAGCAGCTTTGAAAACCAAGGAAAATGTACAGTGCAGAGAGAAAGGATGAGGCTGTTTCAAATACAGCCAACATTTTTATGACACTGCTACTGCATTCCTGGAAACATGATTCTCCGTCTCTCACGTCTGCCATTATACATCCCTGCATATGTGGCTTAACTTTACTATGACCTTCAGAAGCTATTTTATAAAGAACCGTTAATATATTTTATGGAACTCTGCATTTATAATTGCATTATATGTTGGGCAGCTATGACTGTGCAAAAAGGTTAAGATGAACTGCAACAACTTTACACTTGCAAGGAATAAAACCATTTATGAACGAGTAAAAAATATGCTGCTAATGTCTGCATATTTAAAAGTTTAGGAAACATGAAAAAAATTTCATCTATTTAAACTAGCAATAGAGCATCATTAAAAAGATAGTGAAAATTGCTACGGAAAAACAAAATCAATACTGACATGCAATAGAAAAATAAGGTTTCTATAAAATGATTAAGCTTAAAAGTAATTTCCTACAAAGAAAAAAGGGAAAAAGAATTGCTTGCCCAGAGTATTTGATAATATAAACTTCAATGAATATGAAAGAAGCTGCAGGCTACACTGTTTGTGGAATACGGATATCAGCGGAGATTAACCTTAGTTGCCAAGTATGCAGACTATAAAGTAAAAGGGGAAAATTCTGTCACTAAAGCAACATAAAATTCTGAACATTCAGAAGCTTGCATCAGCACACTGCTTTCAGCTGCATGACCAGAAGCTCACTGAACATGCAAACCCATAAACTACCGCTGGAATGTAACAGGTTTGGTGAAATAAGAACTGTGCTGGGAAGGAAATATGAAGAACAAATGTTCTCAAACTACAAATGTCTCCAAATCTTGTAACACTTCCCAACCTAAAAAATCAAAAGCAGCTACCAATAATCTTAATTAAGGCCCAACAACAATCCAAGAGAAACTACTAGCATCTCTAAGAAAAAGAATTTAAAAACCCTAGCAGAAAGTGTGATTATTCTTTTAACCACTAACAATATACATTTGGTCATCTCAGAACACAACCTCACATTTACATGGAGAAATTCACTTGGACCTCACACACAAATCCAAACTGAAAACAGGCAAAGCAGGAACCTGTCTCCCCTAAAATATTTTAAAAGGATGCTGATGTAAAAAGCTGTGTTTATTTAGATTTAATTATATTATCCTAAAGAAATGAACAAAAGATTGTGACTCTGTTGTGTGAATTTAAATCCAAATATATTCATTAAAGTAAAAAGTTAATTTCTCAAACTCAGAGCCACTACATTAACAGGAAATATTGTAATTTAAATTCACTATGCTTCAGCAATTAAGAAGAAGTTGTAGTAGTTAAGGCTCCAGAATGGTGAGTTTAGTCTAATCTTACAGAACTTAGAGTGAACAAATGCTGTTTATTTGTAAATGCATTCTAGAATGTTACTGGTGAATTATCTACGTTTGTATGAACACAGTATTTTTACTAGATACGTCTGGATTTTTTTTTCTCCCTCCAATATTGGGACTTTTTACAGTGGCTCATATACCAAGTATTTCTATTGTTACACAGGAACTGCACAAACACAGAGCAGATTTCTTACCCTGCTTCTGGACAGATTCCCAGCTTGCACATTTAGACAGGGTTCATAAAAATTTAGATTATGTCTGGATTTTTAAGACAAAATTGAGAATAGTAAACAGATGATATTCCTCTATATTTACTGTATGTTCATAAAGGTTCAAGTAATGCAACTAGAATTTAAGCTTGGCAAAGGCAAACTCCTAATGTTCTCCCCAGCAATTCCTCAGGAAATTACTACAGAAACATACAATACTATACTGTGACTTAAATATTAGAATTTGGTGAAAAAACATGAAATTTATCTGAGCCTCTTTAGAGGGGAGGGTTCAAATGAATAGCAGGATAACCTCAGACATAGAAGATCTGACCCCAAATGGTACAGACAATCCGCTTTCTGAAAGCTGCCTCTTCTGTTGCTCTTCATGACCATCTCGTGTGGGTCTAAAGCACATATCCTTCCTGAGAGGGTTAGATGTTCACAGAATATCCTGCTTCACAGATTGACGTGCCAACAAATACAGAGCCCTAAACCCATAATAAGCCATAAAATCAACT